TGTGAACTCCACAACTATTGAAATCCAAAAGACCAGAAGGGTTTTGGTGGTATTTTAGAATTGAAACCATATTGCCAGTTGGTTCTCATTAAAATGAAAGTCTGCATTTCTTATAAAACTACGTTTCATTCTGATAAAAGAGTACATTTTACTAGTTCAAAGCAAGCTGAGCCATAAAGTGCATGACACAAATGATATAAGAAAGGTCAGACTCCTAAAAGTAATTTATTATGTGAAGAAAGACTGATGAAATGATTATCTGCCAAGAAAAAGAAATAGAAACACGTTCTGCTCTTCAGAAGGAAGTACAATGTCAGACATTTTGAATTCTAATTCTACCAGCTAGAGGACGGTAGGAGTTTAATGTACACAGCCATAACGTAATTCATTGGAGGCCTGAAAAGGGGGCAGTGGGCAATTGCCTTCTTTGGTCACTAGCATGCAGGGGCGGGTGGGCAGCAGTCTAAAAGCACCATTTTTCTTGTGATTAAAAGCAGAATGTGCCATTGGGATTCCCATTACCATAGATCTTCAATAGTGAGGCAGGAATAGACCGAACCACTGGTATATGTCCGGGAATATGGGGTCTAGGAGCTTCATATGCGTAAATAGCCCAATCATTAGTACTTGCATCTAGAACTTGGACAATCCTGCTATAGTGAGGGAGAAGATAATTATTCCCATAATTCCCTGAGGGGTATCCTTCTTGGCAGATTGATACATGGAAACCGAAAAAGTGTCCATTAAGCACACAAGCTAAGTCTTTCAGACATGTTCGGGTGAAGATAGTCTAATCATCACAGAAAATTCTTTATTATGCGAATTATGAAAACATTTTTTTTTAACTGTGAAATCATAGTGCTGGTGCATTAACATATTTATATGCCCAGTTTACCAGTTTTTTTAATTGTACATGCTATTTTAGTACGATATAAAATGAGTTATAGATACAACATAGACCCACAGAAGTAAAGAGAAAATCGATACAAAGTAACAGGGTGCCACAATCACTGATATATTTACCGGCTTTGTCTCAAAGTGGAGAGGAAACGAAAAAAAACGAAAAACCATTAGTAAAAGAATGTACAATTTATTAAAATTAGTAATTAAAAATATAGATAGATATTGACACAAAACTGCAAAAGTGCAGTCAATAATAAAAAGCCTGGATAGGCTATGAACCCTTCTATTTACAACAGTGTTAAACGAGTTGCAATTTTTTGGCTAATTTTAGATTGCGGACTTAGCTGCAACCTTTTAGCCATTTTATTATTCACTATTACACGCTCATGACTGTAAATATCCCAGAACAACTTATCCAACATGCTTGGCACTATGGAAGCCATTGGTGGGGTCTCCAAGCCATGGGACAAATGGTCTCACAGCTCTGTCTGCACACTCACGGCTAGGGTGTCTCTGCTATATATCAGCAGAGATGCAAGTACCGGCATGGACAAACCCTCTCTTGGCGATTTGCATATTGTATAATTAATATGCACCATAACATTTCTTGTGCAGAGTTTTTTGCACTGACAAGAACGAACGAACGAACAAAGGAAAGAAAGATAAACCAGCTATAATATGACTCAGTCAGGCAGCTGGAATTCTATCCTCCAAGCTGCTAATATCTAGTTTGTCCAAGATGTGCATGTTCCTTACGCAGTGAGCGGTTTTTCCCCTGCCTTGTTTGTTTTAATGCATGATCTATGTTTTCATTTACATCAAATGGAGACCAAGCAAATGTCCCATGATTCCTTAAGTCATATCCGTGAAAACACTTGTTCATGCAGGGGATCATGGGAAATGCGTTTTTGTATGCACTGCATCTTGGGAAAAAGGATGGTGTTAGTCATCTATCTAAACCCTATCTAAGCCCATGGCATACACTACTCCAGTAAACACTAAGAGACACATATTACCAAGAAAGAGATAAAGTTCAACCTTCATAGTAACACTCCGAACACCACAACAACTACAACGTGCTTCCTGCTCATACTGAGGCTGTGATAGAGTCAGGAGAGGCCCCCCGGCAGATCCCACATAAGAAGTCCAACTGTTCTAAAAGGTTTCACTATTTGCAATGGGAAGTGGAAACCCCAAGGCACTGCTGGCACCATAACCACTACAGCACTATGTAGTGGTTATGGTGTTGAAAGTGTTGCTTTTATGGACAGTCACTGCAACACTATTTTTTTTCATATAATCTTTTCATTAAAGGAACGCTATAGCGTTCGGATTACAAACATGTACTCCTGACACTATAGTGCTGAAGTGGCTGTTAAGGAGTCCGACCACCAGCAGTAAAAAGGTGATTTTACTAATCTTTTCTCCCAAGAGGTGCAAGTCTTGCCACGGCTGACCCCCCCTGGCTCCGCCTCCCTGGCTGAGATCATTAACCTTTATGATTTCATCCAATCCAATGCTTTCCCATACGTGGCAAAACTTAGCGCTGCACCAATAAGCCTCTCCTCATAGAGATGCATTAAATCAATGCATCTCTATGATAAAAAAAAAAAAATGACAAGAACTCCATTTACATAGACCTTGAGTCAGACAGTGTTTGAAACCTGCTAGTAGCTAGTCTATATAGTCCTCCCAGGTCTGTGCAGGGAGCACCCATCCGTGGTTAATGATGGCTCTCATCGCGTAGCAAAACTGGTTTCTATAGACAACATGGTCCCTGTAACGGATGGTGAGAAATGTTTTTATATTGGGTGGAAAACACAGTGACCTCACTCCCCTACATCCAGTGTGGGCCTGAGTGAAATAATAGGTGGTCCCTAGGGAGCCAAAGTTTGTGTTTTAGTAGTAATTTGCTGGAGGAAAACCTTAATCAAGCTCAAAGCGGTTTCCTGGAGAAGCGAGACAGCCCTGGCTTTCCATAACTGTGCATTGTTCTCACTTCCCCTCCTAACTCTTTCTGACAGAGACATTTACACCACTCGGTTTGATCGACATCCAGAGTTTTCTTTACATTAGAGTGTCCCCTGTGTTAATCTAAATAATTCCCCCAAAAATAAACTTAATATTCTTCATCTGCTACCCAAAATTACTTTGTAACTGTACAGTTTGTTTCCTGTATGTTCTCCCAGACTATGCTTAAAATAAGACGGTCACCTCCCAAAAAAAAAAAAAGTTCCCCGCCAAATAAAAACATATCATGTCCCTTTGGTTCACATAGTAGTGAATAACGACCCATATATTTAAAGGAACGTCATAGGTTGGTTCAGGAACACAAACATGTATTCCTAATCCTATAGTGTAAAAACCACCATGTAAGTGGCTTACCCACCCCTCTCCTTTCCCTTTAATGACAATGTGAATGCTCCTATTTGCACACAATAACGGCCTTTTGGTGGCTAATATTTTATAATATTTTTGCATTTATATTAAGTAGCTGAATAGCTCCATTGATATTTTGTCATTAATGCTCACAGCCAACATGTTCACAGCTTCTACACAAGCTCTTAGAGAGTCTCAACCATCTCTTGACATGCGCATCATCGTCCTTTTGGCCTATTCCTGTTATAACCCAATTAGAGACATTCAAGAATTACAGACACATGAATTTTTGGCAAAATATTCCACGGCTTTATTAAATATATATATATATATAATAAAATATAAATTTAAAAGGTCATTGTCAACAACGATTAGGAAGACATCCCCCCATTTAACATAACTATACACCAAGACAATGACCTAAACCATTTTACAGAATACATCCATATAACCATATAACATAGTATAAATAACAAAAATTAACATAGCCACCCAGGGCATCCATTTCCAATTGTAGGGGCATCCCAAGACACCCCTACGCCATTATCACAGCCACCAAGGGCATCCATTTCCAGTGTTGGGGCATACCGAGACACCCCTACACTGAAAACGGGTTAGCCAAAGGGTTAACCAGAACAGACTAGTGTGTGTGTGCGTGCTGAATAAAGCACACACACATTAGTCTGTTCTGGTTAACCCTTTGGCTAGCCCGTTTTCATTCATACTGCTGTCTTTAACATTCCACACTCCTATACATTTAAAGGACCACTCTAGGCACCCAGACCACTTCAGCTTAATGAAGTGGTCTGGGTACCAGGTCCTTCTAGGGTTAACCCATTTTTTTCATAATTATAGCAGTTTCAGAGAAACTGCTATAATTATGAATGGGTTAAGCCTTCCCCCTAATCCTCTAGTGGCTGTCTCATTGACAGCCACTAGAGGCGCTTGCGTGCTTCTCACTGTGATTTTCACAGTGAGAGCACGCAAGCGTCCATAGGAAAGCATTGTAAATGCTTTCCTATGCGACGGGCTGAATGCGCGCGCAGCTCTTGTCGCGCGTGCGCATTCAGCCGGCGGGGCGGAACGGGAGAACGAGGCGGAGAGGAGGAGGAGAGCTCTCCGCCCAGCGCTGGAAAAAGGTAAGTTTTTACCCCTTTCCCCCTTACAGAGCCGGGCGGGAGGGGGTCCCTGAGGGTGGGGGCACCCTCAGGGCACTATAGTGCCAGGAAAACGAGTATGTTTTCCTGGCACTATAGTGGTCCTTTAAGACCATGTAATCAGACTTTATTTCTTTCTCCTCCATATATGCTTTTAATTTTACTCCGATTTTCTCTTTTAAAACAACTTTGCCGTTTCTAGGCAATACTTGGTGGCTGTGCTTTATGTCACTTTTCGGCAGTATGTTTGACAGTCTTCGGTTTGCGGCTTTATTCACAGAGCAGACCGGACAAACAGGGTGCACTTGGTGAGTGGGTAAGTTTAACACATTAGATTTTATATATTTGAGATTTTCACATGTCATAGCATCTTGATAAAGACCGCTAGACGGTCGAAACGTTGATTTATATGCGTTTGATTTAATATATTTTTTTTGTTTACTAAATCCAATGAGTGCTCTCAATTTGTTCCATTTGTATATTTTGCACGGAGAGGCACCTGGTCATTGCTGAATTAATGCTTTTGTTATGGGATGAGTGCCAGAAACTACTGTGAATTTATCTATTTAACCCCTTCACTACAAAGTGCTTTACATTGAAAAAAATTAATTTAACATTATATATATATTAATTTTTTTCAATGTAAAGCACTTTGTAGTGAAGGGGTTAAATAGATAAATTCACAGTAGATTGTTGGTGCATTTATTATACAATCACATCTTTAGATTGTAAGCTCACGGGCCGGGCCCTTTACCTGTTGTATTGCTCTGTTCTTATTGTGTTTGTCTTTTTCCCAGTTGTACAGCGCTGCGGAATATGTTGGTGCTTTATAAATGCCAGTAATAAATACATGTGTTTCTATTTGTTAAACATTGCTTCGTTGGTGTACGTTCAGTAAGAGCTATGTTAAAGCATTATTACACAGGAGCTCAGTCTGATTGATGTACTTGGGTTATGGCAAAACATAAAACATTACTCCAGCATTTAGTTGGCACAGTGGCTAATTGTTTGTAATTCCAGGAAGGAGCAATGCCTGTAACACATGCTGATTGTTAAATATACAAATTATATGTTAATTAATGCTACCAGCGTTTTTAGACTGTAGCTATAGGAATGTCCGGCTTGTCTCCAGGATAATTAGAGTGTTTGTGTCACGGTTCACAGATCCCATATATAGTAGCTATGGACAGGAAGAGGTTAAAAGTCCATGGAAGTCCCTAGCTAAATAATATGAATAACAGACATTGTTTACCATCTCTCTACAGGATATGGTGAGAAATGCAGCATAGTTTATTTGATGTATGTATTCCTATACTGCATGAATGGGGACACGGAATAAGTCACACATTGCCTCCATGCAGTTCAGAAGTTCAGAGGCCTTAATCTCTGGCAGAACTCAGAGATATATATCTTGGACTGCCTTAGATTAGTGTGGGTTATAATACAGTGCCAGAATTGCTACTTTTTAAACTTTATTTTTGAGCATAAATGGACACTCCAATACAGCGTTCATGCATTTGAGAGAATTTGCATGAAAAAAAAAACTGGTTTCACTGTCAATCAGATGTAATTTCCCTTAACCCCTTAAGGACCAAACTTCTGGAATAAAAGGGAATCATGACATGTCACACATGTCATGTGTCCTTAAGGGGTTAAACAATTTTCTCTTTTGCTATGTAAATTGAAATTTAATCACATACAGGAGGCTTTTGCAGGGTCTAGCAAGCTATTAACATAGCAGGGGATAAGAAAATGTAAATTAAACAGAACATGCAATAAAGAAAGGATAAACTTTAGATGACTCTTTACAGGAAGTGTTTAGGAAGGCTGTGCAAGTCACATGCAGGAAAGTGTGACTAGGGTTCATAAACACAGTGATTTAACTCCTAAATGGCAGAGAACTGAGCATGCAGGGGCATGTTCTATACACCAAAACTGCTTCATTAAGCTAAAGTTGTTTTGGTGACTATAGTGTCCTTTTAAAACCACCATCTAGCCCTCCCCCGATTCACCTACATATAGTAAAAAAAATCGTACCTTTATGTCAGTTTGTTGCTGCTGGCTCTGCCCCTGATCTGCCTGCTTGGCTGACATTATCAGAAGTGTTGTTCTGAGCCAATCACAATGCTTTCTAATATGATTGGCTATGACTGTCAAGGAGGCAGATCAGGGGCAGAGCCAGTACAAGTCAAACACAGCCCTGGCCAATCAGAATCTCCTCATAGAGATGTATTGAATCAATGCATCTCTATGAGGAAAGTTCAGTGTCTCCATGCAGAGGGTGGAGATACTGAATGTCAGTCACACAGTGCAGCACTGCCTCAGGAAGCACCTCTAGTAGCCATCTGAGGAGTGGCCAGTGGAGTTATCACTAGGCTCTAATGTAAACACTGCATTTTCTCTGAAAAGACAGTGTTTACTGCAAAAAGCCTGAAGGGAAAGATTATACTCACCAGAACAAATACATTACACTATAATACTAAATACAAGTAATATGTGTTTAAAAGTAATAATAATGTAACTTAACTTAAATGACAGCTTCCCTTGGCAACCTTCCCACGTGGATGCCTGGATGAACAAATATATACAAGAAATAGGGGAACACGCTGTCTAAACCTAAAAAGAAATTAACAACTCAAAGTGTAAAATTGCATACAGCATGTATATAGACACGCTATTAGAAGCACTCCCAGAGTGAAGGTAGTCAAAGCGCCTTCAGGGTGCCACCCCAAATCCTTTAGGGGGGTAAAGTATGGATCCACCGAACTCAGGAACCAGAAAGGAGCAGGAATCGTGGTATAAAAAAAATATAAACGTATTTATTTATAAAAGAGCCACTGGTTCTACGCGTTTCGTTCTATAAAATTAGAACTTCCTCAGGGATCAATAAAGGACCTTATTTAGAAACATTTGAAACAATGGTGGAAAAAGATTTAGAAGCTATTAATAAGAAAAGAAGAAGGGATAATCTAACCCCCAAAAAAGAACCTGCCGAAAAATGATGATGAAAAGAGATGACATCATCTTTAAAGAAGCGGATAAAGGGGAGGTTATTGTAATTATGAGTAGAGAATATTATTTACAAGAATCTTTAAATATCCTAAACGACCGAGTTACTTATAAAAAAAAAAACTTACAAAAGATCCGACCAAGCCATTTAATGATATTTTGAAGAAACTGTTAGCTAAAGCGGTTGACGATCAGGTGATCTCTCAAAAAACTTTGATTTTCTCTTTTGAAAAAAATCCCACTATCCCTATTTTTTACTTGTTACTTAAATTATATAAAAGTTTATTTTTCCCCCAGGGCGCCCGATAATTAGTGGCATCAATACAATTACGGTGAACCTTTCAGCTTTTATTGATTCAGATTTACAAAAATATGCACAGGAAGACTTATCTTATGTAAAGGATCCGAAATCTCTTTTACAAGAATTAGAAAATGTAGAGTGGCGTCAGGAATACAGTTGGGCTACTTTGGACGTAACGTCCTTATATACAGTTATTGGTCACAAATTGGGATTAGGGGCTATTAAATGCTATATGGATCAGGACGTCAGGATTTCTAATAATTTGAAAGAGTTCATTAAGGCAGGAGTTCAATTTATTTTGGAGCAGAATAATTTTTTCTTTAAGGGTTCGTTTTATTTACAGGTTAGGGTGAACGCCATGGGCACCAGGTTTGCCCCCAGCTATGCCAACACATATATGAGGAGATGGGAGGACTGCTTTGTGTGGTCTGGCCATGGCTGGAGGGCATCCCTGGTGCTCTGGCGGCGTTATATTGATAATGTGATTATTATTTGGAGTGGTGATGAGGCAACTTTCAGAAACTTCACAGGATATTTAAATGACAATAGTTTCAATTTAAAATTCACCCCAGTATGGGACAAGAAATCCATCAATTTCTTAGATATTACTATTACCAGTGAAATAGATGGAATCCACACCAAATGCTATTTCAAACCAACGGATGGTAATAGCTATGTGCACAAAACGAGCTGCCACCACCAACGTGGCTTAGGGGGATAGCGAGGAGCGAACTCACTAGGGTAAAACGTAATTGCTCCAAGACACAAGACTTCACTACTCAGGCTGAACATATTAAACAGAAATTGATCCAACAGGGATACAATAAGAATAATATTGAGAAAGAGATGAGGGTTATCAGTACTCGTAAAAGAGAAGAACTCCTTATGGATACTAATAAATCTAAGAGAAATGTCCCTTTTAATTATGCTTTCAAAACGAGATTTAATACTCATCATAATGAGATAAAAAAAGTACTGCAAAAACATTGGTCTATACTTCAGAGTGACCCTGGGATTGGACAATCACTACCCAATAAACCAATAATGATCTACAGAAAATATAAAAATGTAAAAAACATGTTAGCACCAAGCTATATTAAACCAATTAAGAAGAGTCATCCGACCAATATTATTAAGGGTTGCACTAGTTGTATGGCATGCAAAACAGTTTCTTTGGTCAGCTCAGAGTTTTTTCAGAGTTAAATTACTAAGGAAAGTTTTTTAATCAGTTTCCGTATTGGCTGCCGCACAGACTTTGTGGCTTTGTGGTGTATTTACTGCAGTGTCTGTGTGGTAAGCAATACGTTGGATGGACTAGAAGACCTCTAAAAGTCAGAATCATGGAACATTTAAATAACATCAAGAAAGGTCTCACTACCCATTCGGTTCCAGTACACTGTCAGTCTTGTCCAGCCTTCAATTTTAAAGAGCTTATTTGTAAGGGAATTTAACAAATTCTGCCCCATTGGAGAGGCGGAGGTAGACTTAAACTCTGTCAAAGAGAAACCTACTGGATTCACAAGCTACAGACACTGGAGCCAAAGGGTTTAAATGTTGACATAGATCTGGTCTGCTTTCTATAGTATTAATTAGGTTAGTTTTATCTTTTCATTTTTGGTATGTGGGATTGTAATTTCCAATTTAAAATCATGGTTATAAAATAGTAATCTTGTATTGAGAGGTGTATATATATATATATATATATATATATATATATATAGTGTTTTTCTTGTCTGCGAATAGAGGTGGTTAACACACTTCATTGATAAACATTCAAAGCATACGAAAAAACAAATATGTTCACTGAAAATAATTCTTAATCATAAAATAAGACTTCAATAATCTTTTTTTGTTTATGTATAATTGTATAGATACAGTTTTTTCTTGTTTGCTAATAGAGGAGGTTAACACACTTTATTGAATGCTAAATATTTAAAGCATTAGAAAAAATAAATATCATGGTCACTTAGAATAATGCCTAATCACAAAATAAGATTTCATTAATAATTTTTGTTTATTATTGATTTAATTTTTTTTCACTATTACGGTAATATGTTTAATGGAGTTCTAACGAAGTTCTCTCCCCATAGTGTCACTTTCATAAGGATTTTTCTTGTAATGAGGACTATCATAAATGAATAACAAAGTGTGCCTATAACGCATGCGCAATCTACACGATGGACACAGGGGAAGTTCAACTATCTTTGGAACACACAAAAAGATCTCGTGCAACGCATACGTCATTTCCGGTGACGTTGAAGGAAGAACGGCTGAGCAGGAAAGAACACAATGCAGGTGATGCCCGAGAAGATGATTATGAATCCGTAACGGAGCGGGAACACACCCACCACACCACCAATGATGG